AACCTGCCTGTAATTTACAAGGATCCGTGAACATCATGTAGGGCTTCAGGGAACTCAGGCTAGAAGCCCTTGCAGTGTGCTTAAGGTCAGAGAAATTCCAGTCTGGTTCTGCCCTAACTGGCTGAGTCTCAGGCCAGCTCCTGGTCATCTTGATTTGCACTGCCCTCTAGAGCCTGTGAGGTTGGGCAACGGGAGCCTCATGAGGCCCAACTGCTCTGCCACCTCCTTGGAATCACTTGAAATCACCCTATTGGGGATGGTTGTGTTTTATTTTTTTTTTTTTAAAAAAGGGTAGCTTCAAACCCAGCTGAGAATCTACACCTGCTCACCAGAGCTGGGCTGTCTTCCTCACACCAGGCCTCCCGGGAGTCCCAGCACGATCTGCTGCCCCGCTACCTCCTGCCCATCTGGATGGGTCTGGCTGCCAACTGGGGGCCTCTGCGAGCTTTGGAAGCTGTGGGCTCTGATTCACATACACATCCATCACCACACCTGCTGTTTTTGTTTTGTTTTTTAATTGATATATCTGTCATTCGCCACATCTACTGAGCACCTTCTATGTACCAGGCCTCGGGCTAAGCATTACACAAAGAGAAATCATGCCCAACATCAGATGGCTCACTCAGTATAACCTTTCCAATGGGATTATCTTGAAACTGAATCCCTCTTCCACGCATTTAGTAAGCTGCCCAGTGTGTGGCTACCTCTAGCAGAGCCTGGCCTTTTTAGTTACTTCTTGTCACCTCTTGCTTCCAAACAGCAACTTTGAACCCACAGAAGGAGATGAAGAAAGAACTTCTGTCTGTCAACCTAGGATCTAGGAAGCTTGTAACAAAGTGGCCTGGATGAATCCTCTCAAGGGCACGTTGGATACGTCTCTTGCCATTTTGTTGCAAGTGCTTATCACTATTAGCCATTATGTGTAAACTGATTCATTTGTCTTTTCCTCCACTAGAATGAAAACTCTATGAGGATAGAGACTTCGGTTCACTGCTGTGTGCCTATGTGAAAAAGTGTTCAGTAAATATTTGTTAAATAAAAAAGATTCATAAAGCCGAGACCAGATTCTATATACAATGTGGTCCTGCCAGGGTTGAACCCCAATATGGCCATCCATCAGCTGTATGGTCTTGGGCAAGTTAGTCAACCTTTCTGCTCAGTTTTTCTTACCTATGATATGAAAATGATTGTGATTTCTACCTTGAAGAGGAGTAGGTTGAGTGTAAAGAAAACAGTAAGTGTCTGGCACATAGAAATGCTAAATGAGTTAGTGGTTATTGTTTTTGTTACTATTACTATCCTGCTTTGTCCATTCAACGTTGCTAGGAGCTTTCCTCACCTGGATCAGAAACTTCAGTGCTGTTGGAGACTCACTATGCCATTGGACCAAGGTGCCATTCACTGAGTACAAGTTTATACTATGAGCAAGAGCTACGTGTGTGTGTGTGTGTTGGAGGAATCAAATTCTCAAAAGGCCAATAGAAGTTAAGAAGTTCTGGGCACAGGGCTGGCTTATGAGACTCTTACAGGCAGCCATTCCCAGAGTCCAGATGTGGACCTTGCAAAAGGGAGCCTGACATGGTCTTCTTGTTTTTGATTATTGATTGGATTCCTGATACAATAGTTGCCTTGGTAATACTCGGAGATTAGATCTGAGAAAGACCTTTGGAAAGTTGAGGGTCCAAGGCTCAGGTACGGAATATCATTCCAAGTACCGGGAGCCTACCTCCCACCTATGCCTGCCCCACCAGATTCCAGTCCCAGAGCCTGATTCTCATGGGTGAGTGACACTCCACTTCCCAGCAGGTGGCGCTGCTGTCCTGACTATGGGGAACGTTGCCAGCTAGGGGATCTGGGCTGGGACCTGGACCAGTCCCAGGCAATAGTGCGATGAGTGCAAACTACTCCATTCATTCACAGATTCAACAAATACTATGTCAGGCTCTGTTCTAGGCGCTGAGGATTTAACCAAGAACAAGACAAACCTGCTTTTCCAGGATTCATATTATTTTAGAGTTATACTGTCAAATATAGTAGCTACTAGGCACATGAGACTATTGAGCACTTGCAATGTATCTAATCTGAATTGAGAAATTTTATTTATGTGAACTATATCGATGGAGGTTTATGATATTAGAAATAAGAACTGAAAAATGTTAAACTATTTGCTAATTTAAGGTAAACGACAGTATAATACTAGACCTGCCCTATAAGAAATGCTAAAGGATAAAACGAAAGGACACAAGACAGTAACTTGAAGGCAGAATTAAAAATAAAGAACACTGGTATAAATAATATAAACGAAGACACTTTAAAATGGAGCTAGAGATACCATGTCAGAGGAACTTGCACATCTTATACCTCAAACCTTGGAATGATAAAAACAAGGCAAAATAACCTTTGGACTGGGCCTAAAAAAATCTGTTTCTCAAAGGACTGTTTGCAAAGATAACAAGAAAGCAGTGATTATGACTACTGGACTGAAAATTGAAAACATTATTTAGAATTAACATCACTATGTTATCTGTTACCAACCAATAGAAATGCTTTCTTTCTATTGATGTAAATGTCCCCCTTCTCATAAATACCCATAGTCTTTGTCTCTGAATCAGAACACTATTAGGGCTTCCATTTGAATCAGTGTTCTTGAATAGCTACTCTTATTGATCCCGAATAAATGCTTGTTTGCCTCTCACTTTGAAAGGCCTTTCTATTTTTAGGTTGGCACTAGTAAAGTAACTTTATAGGCTAATAAAAAGCCAGTAAATAAAAGACAAGATCATTGTACTTTTGGTTTGATTAGTAACTTCTCTCTTTTTTCTATATGATTTAAAAGCAAATGCATAAAACAACAATAATGAATCTATGTCAGTCATAAAATATATAAAGATATAATTTGTGACAATGACACAAAAGGGGGAGGAATAGAGATGTATAGGAGCAGGTATTTCTATACTATTGAAATTAAGTTAGTCTTATTTAAACTAGCTTGTTATAAATTTAAGATGTCAATTGTAACCCCCCAAGTTATCCACTAATAAAACAGTTTTTAAATATCCAAAAAAAAAAAAAAGAAAGGAAAGAAGGGAATCAAAATGGTGCACTACAAAAAATCGACTAAATACAAAAATGGAAGGAATGGAGGAATTGAGGAACAACGAAAACCCATTAAATACACAGAAAATAAATAGCTAAATGTAACAAGTAAATCCTTTATCAGTAATCACATTAAATGTAAATGGATTAAACTTTCCCATTCAAAGACTGATTAGCAGATTAGATTTAAAAAAACAAGCTCTATATGTCATCTATAAGAGACTCGCCTTGGATACAAGGATCTAAAGAGATGAAAAGTAAAAGAGTGGGAAAAATATATTCCCTGCAAAAGGTAACCAAAAGAGATCTTTGTGGCTATATTATTAGAAGACAAATTAGACCTAAATCAAAACAGGTAAGAAGAGACAAAGAAATATGTTGATAAAAGGTGTAATACATCAAGAAGATATAAAAATTCTAAACAATACACAACAGAGCCCCAAAATATCTGAAACAAAATTGACAGAATTGAGAAGGGAAACAGTTTTACAGTAATAGTTGGAGATGTCACTACTCCACTTTTAATAATGGATAGAACAACCAGGCAGAATGTCAGTAAGGAAATGGAGGACTTGAACAACACTGTAAACCAACTAGACCTAACAGACACTCAAGCAAACAACAACAGAATACTCATTTTTTCTCAGGTCTACATGGAACATCTTTCAGGATAGATCATATGATATTTACAAAACAAGTCCTAAGACATTTTAAAAGATTGAAATTATACAGTGTCTTTTCTGATCACAGCAGAATGAAACTAGAAATGAATGAGAGAAGGCAAACAAAAAATTCACAAATAAGTGACCGTTTAAAAACATATTCTGTGATGGTTAATTTTATGTGTCAACTTGAAGGGACCTTGGTTTATCTAGACAATTAGCCAAACACTATTCTGAGTGCGTGTCTGTGAGGGTGTTTCTGGGTGAAATTAACATTTGAATAGATTGTGTCAAGCATATTGCCCTAATACCGGTGGGTCTCACCAATCAATTGAAGATCTAAATAAGCTGAGTAAGAGGAAGCTCTTCCTGCCTGATTTCTTGAGCTGGAATTTAGGACTTTTCCAGGCTTTAGGCTTGGACTGAAATATCAGCTCTTCTTGGATGGAGTTTCTGATGCAGGTGGGGAAAGGTTCTAGCAATGTTGAACGGACAAAACAGGATAATAATAGTAACAAAACCACTGACAGTAATCTGTTGATAGACACTTGGATTTGGTCATTTATATTTTGTTTTTGAGTAGTATTCCACTGTATGAATGTTAGTTTCTCTGTTCATCTGTTGGACATTTGGATTATTTCCAATTTGGGGCTATTATGAATAAAACCCTTGGGTGGATGTATGCTTTAACCTTTCTTGAGCAAATACTTGGGAGTGTAATGGCTGGACCATTATATAAATTTAGTTTAAAAATCCCCGCCAAACTGGTTTTCAAAGTGGACAGAAATTGAGAAATTGCGTATGGGTTCCAGGCCCTCCGCCTCGTTGTCAGTCTTTAAGCCTGTTTGTTAGTGGCTGTGTGGGGTTATAATTTGCATTCCCCTGATGAATAATCATGTCAAGCATTTCTCATGGGCTTATTGGCATTTACCTTTTGTGAATTGTCTGTTCAAATCCTTTGCCCATTAAAAAGAAGAGGGGAAAATCTTCTTGCAATTAATGTCGACCGGGCACTTATGCTCATTCGTGTCCATAGCTTTACACATTTTTACTGACGACCGCCAGCAGCAGTAACGTGGCGAGACTGGAGGAGCCGAGAGTACTCTGGACCGCTTAGCTACAGAACAGCTGGGCCGTTTCTGGGAGAGATTCCCGGTGGCTCTCAAAGGCTCGCGCAGTGATTGGCTGAAGGAGCACTTCCGCAGGCACTTCCGACTTCCCTGCACACTTTGAGTATTGGTGATTGGCTGGGCTGGCCAAGCGCGAGTGCTCCCGGGAGTTGTAGTTCTTGGGGCTGGGCTGGGGACGCCAGGGAAGATCAGAGGTTGGAGGCCAAGATCCGCGGTTGCGGTTGTTCCCGGCCGCTGGCACCATGTCTCTGGTGTCGGTGCCCTGCCATGTGAAAGGCACAGTGGCCCTGCAAGTGGGCGACGTGCGGACCTCTCAAGGTCGGCCCGGCGTGCTGGTCATCGATGTCACCTTCCCCAGCGTCGCACCCTTCGAGGTGAGCAAGCCCCGTGGGCGCGACCAGGGCTCCTGGGCGGGGCTGACCAGGAAATTCGGGCGTGTCTCGGGCGTTAACTCTTTTCCCAAAGCCTCTACACTGGCCTCGCCTTTGCGAATCAGTTAACCATTAATTTATTACTGCAGTTAACACGTTTACTAGAATGCAGCTTCCTGTCCTGTTCTCTGCACCATCTCTACCCCGCGTCCAGGACAGTGCTGGCAGGAAAGTGCCAAGATAGTAGGCTAGGTGCTGGAGATACAGTTGTGAACCAAATATAGTGAGAGGTCATTTTGTCCCCGGCCACTGGCCGAGGATCATAAGGCAATTAGTTACCCCCAAACCTGCCTCCTGCCTATTCTCACAGTCCCTGCTGGAGGTCAGGTTCAACTCATCCGTCAGCAGGATCTTCCCAATGGCTTCGGTTTTCAGTCTGCATTTGCAGTTCCACATTAGTTTGCAAGTGACCAGACACTGGAGGACCATAACACAGAGGACAAAGTCTACTTTCTGATGGCCTGGCTTTCAAGGCCACTCTATGTCTGTGCCCTGCCTGCCTCTTGGCCCCATGCACTTTGTGCTGTAGAAGGTGGTTCTTCTCCAAGCTGTTTCTTAACTATAAACTGGGAAACTTCATTAATGGACCCAATCCTGGAAATCCTGATTCAGTAGGTCTGAAGTGGAGCCTGCCCATCTATATATTTAAAAATTTTTTTCCTAGGGTGATTCTGATGAGTGTCCAGTGATGAGAACTACTGTAGCCCAGCTGAATTATTCCATGTTCTGCACTACTTTTACATTACCTTTCCTTTCTTGGTCCACTTGGTGGATTCTTCCCCTTTCAGGCCTCATCTGTACATTTCTGCCTCCTCCAGAGTTAGGGCTCTAACCTCTGGCAACATCTTGGGCATGCGGCAAGATCTGTGGTTGTGGTTTGTTTATATGACATTTAGACTGAGCTCCTCTAGGAAAGCAAAATTGTCTTTGGACCCCAAAGGATGCTTGTTAGATTGATAGAAGAGTATATTCCTAAGGGAAGGAGAAGATGATGCCTTTGAGCCTCTCTGGCCTTGGGCCTGGGTCTGATTTGTTGAGGTGGGTTGTGTGTGCTCTAGCTGCAGGAGATCACATTTAAGAATTACTACACAGCCTTTCTGAGCATCCGTGTTCGCAAGTATACCTCGATGCACACACCGGTCAAGTGGGTGACCTGCCTGCGGGACTACTGCCTGATGCCTGACCCACACAGTGAGGAGGGAGCCCAGGAGTATGTATCGCTGTTCAAGCACCAGGTCAGCTGGTACTCAGCATGGTCTGTCAGCCCAGATGCGGGCTCGCAGGGGGACTGGGAACTGGGCCAGAATACCAGGAGAGGAGCAGGGGCCAAAGCTGGCCTGGGCTGTGACTCTTTGGGAAGTGCCTTGGAGGGACTACTGTTCTTTCCTTCCTAAAAGCCTGGGGAGGCAGCAGCCTGGCCCATTGCTTGTTGGGAGGCTCCTGGGCAGTGAGCTGGAGCCTCCCTGAGTCTTTGTGTGTTTGTGTATGTGTGTGTCAGATGCTGTGTGACATGGCCAGAGTACTGGAGCTGCGCCTGATTCTGCGACAGCCGTCACCACTATGGCTATCTTTCACAGTGGAGGAGCTGCAGATCTACCAGCAGGGACCAAAGGTAAGTTGTTCAAATCTGTTGGATGGCCCTTTCCCCATGGGCTCCTAGCTACAGCTGGGAGAACTGGGGGTGGGTTGGCAGCGGATGGGTAAGGATGGTGAGGCTCAGAAGGAGGCCTTCATGGAAGTTAACCAGGTGGGAATGCTAGAAGCTAATGTCTCTATGTGCCCTGACCTTTGGGGCCACCTGCCCCTTTTAGAGCTGAAGCCTTCAGGTGCTGGGAGATAATTCTGTTCCATGTATTCTGGGGGCCTCCTTCTGTATAACAGAAGGGCTTAGGTAGTCTGACTGCCCCTTGGGTCTCTGTGGACCCCTAACAGGTTTTCCCCATGTCCGAGGCTCAGCAATCCTTCTCTCTGCTCCCAGGACCTTGGGAGCTTGGAATCTGGTCCCAGGGCTCTCTCCCTCTGCTTCCCTTAAGGCAGTATGACTTTGCTTTGCAGAGCCCCTCCATGACCTTTCCTAAGTGGCTCTCCCACCCAGTGCCTTCTGAGCAGCCTGCTCCCCTCCATGAGGTAAGCGTGCACCCTGGGTAAGAACCATGTGTGAATAGCTCTTGTGTCCAGTACAGGCTCAGGTGTGCCCCTATCTGCAAGAATCTGGGGCTGGACCCAGAGCCCTTGTTCACTCTGTGCCGTCTTCCTCCTGGGTGTCCCATGGGATTTGAGGCATCTCTGTGTGGGGCTGGGTCACCTATTGCACATCAGGCCCCAACCTCGTGTTTCACGAGTCATCTGGGAATCTTACTCGTCTCAGTTGGAGGGCCCCATAGCCCGACTTAGCCTCTCTGGAGCTCTAAGGGCACTGCTTGGGAAAGACCCATGGCTACTGACCCCTCCTTCTGGAGCAGGGTCTTCCAGACCCCAGCAGGATATCCTCCGAGGTGCAGCAGATGTGGGCGCTGACAGAGATGATCCGGGCCAGTCACAGCTCCACAAGGATCGGCCGCTTTGATGTGAGTAATCGCTTCCCTCTGCTTGGCTTCCATTGCCTGGCCGTGGGATGGTCCCAGATCTGATGGTCTTTTGTGTTGCAGGTGGATGGCTGTTATGACCTGAACTTGCTCTCCTACACTTGAGCCGTGGCTCTTGACCAAGACGTTGACCTTCCGTGCCCGTCCAGGCCTGGTTTGGGCCATCAGAGGCCGAAGTGCTTTCCCTGTGCATTCCAAGTGTTGCCTGCATGCCTGTTCTTTCGGGGCCGCGTTCACAGATTCAGGATTCTTGGGGGCTCACTGTGTCGTTTCAGCATGAGCGCCTGGCGGGGGTACACTCTGTCCTCACTTGGCTGCAACCTGAAACTCCTTTTCCTACCCTAAAAACACTCCAATTCTACTTACTAAGAATCCTCCTCTGCCCCTTCTGCCAACATGCACACCCCTGTCTTCTGCCTGCTCCCTCACCTGAGTGCAGTGGGCTGGGGTGGCCTACTAGAGCCTACTCTATCTAGCGTGCTATAGTCATGGCACTTCGTACTTTGGAAACTTGAGGGAGAAATAGGAGCTCCGTTTCTTCCTTCCCCGCCCCCTGGTGGTCTTCTTTCCCTTTGTTTTATGCCCACAAAAAGAAATTTCCTGTCTAAACTCCTGCTGCCTGCCTGGGGAGCAAAGCTGGGGCTTTGGGCTGCCGGAATCCCTTGGTCTCTAAGCTGGCTGGCTCCTGGTTGTGTGTTCCAGTGGGGTCTGCCCATCCAGCCTAGCAGGTGCCTCTGGCAAGGCCAGGGCCTGAGGGTGAGTCCTGGAACCTGTTTGCCATCTGACAGAACCCAAAGTACATCCTTGTCCCTTCTGCCAGGTGCTCCCTTCCAGAAGAAATGCTCAGCGTAGGGATCATTCATGATGGGGCTGGGTCTGGTTAAGGGTTTTTACTGATGTCTTTTAAGAGGCTAAGGTCCTTTACAACCGCAGGCCAGCTGCTGAATAAGGCAGACTGCCTTTTATGAGAAAATCCTGCTTCTGTTTTTATCCTGGCTTTGCCTCTGGGAACTATTATGAGGCAGTACTGCAGCACCTGCTGGACTGGAAAATGGGACGTTTGTGTGGGGTCTGGGGTAAAGTCAGCCACTTTTCGATAGCTGCCCACTGCTCTCACCTGTCAGGGTTCTTGCAGGTGGTACCTTTCCCTGCAGGGTCATTTACTTAGCTCCATTCAGCTTTTGCTAAGAGGGTAATGACCATAGTCTTATGCTCAGGGAGTAGTGGCCCTCTGTGTGTTTGAGCGGGGAGGTCCCTAGGGTAGCAGGGACTTTGCTTCATTCACAGCTATGTCCCCAACACCTAGCACTGGGCCTAGTATGCAGTTAGATCAATAAACACTTGTGGAATGCATGACTGTGCTGGCTGCTTGTGTCCACCCGTAGGG